TCTATTAATATTTGAGGGCAAAACTAGACCTGATGGGAAGTGAATTTTATTCCGGGCAACCAATTTTCATGTCTAACTTGCCGTAATCACAAGTGGTAATAATAGTTACACCACTTATATTGCAATATTTCTAGGGATGTGAGGATGCATTGTTTGACTACCTCAAAGATCACATGGCAATCGTCGGCGGGCTGGCCGCTGGCGTGGCTGTTATTCAGGTATATTACACCCTTAAATAACAGTCCCTTTTAAAAAATTAGCCTGGTAATGCATAAAATATAAACTAATGGAGTTGTGCAAGGTAGCTAGTTTTCGAATCGGCCAATAGACCTTTCGGCTTTCCCCTTATGAGTGAAATTTTGATCTAGATATGCCTGGACAAAAATTTCATCAGCTTGAAACTCAGTTGAGTTACTATTTTATTGTGCTTGTGTGATGTTACTCTGAGTGTATATCCACACCGGGCAGGCTTGAAAAATATGCTTGGCCACGGTGGGATTCGAACCTACGACCTTTGGAATACTAGCCCATTGCTCTGCCAACTGAGCTACGCGGTCAGGTCGGTTCGAGTATGCGATATTTCGGAACTGAGTCTAGTTCCTTCGATATCAGTGTAATCTAATAATCATAAATTCACCTGAGTACATTACACCAACACAGCAAATTTCATGATTATTAGATTACACTGATATCGAAGGAACTAGACTCAGTTCCGAAATATATCACATACTCGAACCGACCTGACCGCGTAGCTCAGTTGGCAGAGCAAATGGGCTAGTATTCCAAAGGTCGTAGGTTCGAATCCCACCGTGGCCAGGCATATTTTTCAAGCCTACCCGGTGTGGATGTACACTCAGAGTAACATCACACAAGCATCTTATTCACCCGAGTACATTACTCCAACACAGCAAATTACTATTTTATTGTTTTCAATTACAGATTATCGGCATTGTGTTCGCCTGTCTTGTGCGCCGTGACGTGAAAGAAGGCTACGGTTATGTGTAATTCTATACATTAAAAATAACTTTGTTAGAACTGACTCAATTGTACACTGCACAAGCAATCATTTGTATATCCTCGTTAATTTGTAGTAATATAGCTTATGACGTAGACAGTGTGTATTTGGGCTTTATTACATACACGACTAGTCGTGATTTCAATATTTTTTGAAATAATAACTTATATAATAACTTAATACGATACAGGTACTATATCTTGATTTAACTAAAGATTTTGAATGGCATGGTCCTCATATTAAATAGTGAAAATTATATTAACAATCGTATACTCGTGTGAGTAATTTCCAATAAGAAACGGTACTTCCTATAACCGTGTTTCCTGAAGGTGGGCTTGGCCATCCAGGAAATATTGTTTGCTAGTCATATTTGGAATTTTTTGTTACCTAGTCGTATGTTTAGGATGTGGACAAACCAGGAAGCATTGTTCTGCCTGGATGAAAAGAGGATGAGAGTTTGTCAGTCATGCGAACCTGGTTAGCTGTTCTTCATACTTTCCCTCGTGTATTCTATTTAAGTTCAGTAAAACATAGGTGGAACACTCCATGTTTCCAGAAGATGGTCATAACAAATGAGGAAACATTGTTTGATAGCCATTTGTTTGGAAACATTTGTTTGGAAACATTGTTAAAGTGTACTGAATTAGCATTTCTCGCGAAGGCCAAAATCCGCTATTTTGTGGTACTGTCTGCCCTGGTAAAAGTTCTAAATGGGCAGAATCGCAAAAATAGCGGGAAAATCGGCCGTGAGAAAGGCTAATTGAACCTTGTCCATTCCATTTTAATACCGAACCTCTGGGGAGGGGGGGGAGGGGGTTGAAAGAAGTCGGGGATTTGATGGATTCGATAAAATAAAATGGGAGATGTAAAGGGAAAGAGGTTTCCGTTGCAAAATAGGAATTGCAAAAATAAGATTTTCAAAAAAGTAAGTACAAGGTTTTTAAGACGTCAAGCGTGGAATGGCGGCCTGGGTGGGATGGAACATTGAAGAAAACCCGAGTTATCCAAACTTGTGAATTAGGTGGCAATGATGCAAACAACAACAGCTAAATTTGTAGATGTATATAGATAAACTCCTTTTAAAAAATGAGCCGGGTATAAATCCATTGCACTGACGTCACAAATCCTTAGAGTGTCCTCCAGTGCTCCCTAAAAATATCTGTTCGGTTACAACAACCACATACACTACAGGGCAAAAATGAACCATTTTAATACAAAAATTTTATAAACAACAAAATTTACTTTGTTTACAAAATCTATATTATGCATAGATTGCTAATTTGTCGTCCAGATGCATCGTCACTGGCGCTGTGACGTCATGTGCAATGGGTCTATAGAGGGGCCTTGATTTCTCCGTTTATCGGCCGCTAACATCAAGCGCAAATTCTCGGACTGGAGAATATTAACTGAACAAAAGAGGACAAAAATTTTGAAATTACCAGTTAAGCAAGTTTTAAAATTTACATCTAATAAAATTGTGTATTATATCGCATAATAATTATTTTCTATAAAACTTCTGCTGCAGGGCCGGTTGTATAAAAAAAAACGTAATTAGCGCTAATTGTAGTTAGCGTTAATCACTGTAGTTAAATCCTTAACTACATGACTTAACTGCGTTGCACAAAACGTGGTTAGTCGGATAGTTAACTAATCACGTAGTTAACTGTGCGTGGGCGTTTAAACACAAAATTACATAAAGTAAGCAACGAGTAACGACCGCTGACAGACATTTTCAACATGATTGTGGACTCGTATTTTGCAAATAGGCGGGAATTTTATTCAAAACACTAGAAAACAGTGAAAAATAAACAAAAAATAAAGAAAAACCGCCACAAAAATCATAAAAGAATGTAGTTTTTCGTTGAGATGTCTACGTTAAACCAAGGTATAGCTGTTTGGCAATTGTATATCAGTGTTTCTTGGTGTAATGGACCATACTTCGTCTTCGAGAAATCGTCCAGTGCAAAAATATGTTCTGTTTTTGTAAAAACACCAAAGCGATAGCGTTTGAAGATTTTATATTGTCAGGAAACATTCACAGGGGTGATAGCGATTGAAAATCTCAGGTAACTGTTGCTTTTCATTGTTTTACTGAACTGGGGCCGGTTGTATAAAAACGTAGTTAGCGCTAACTGCAGTTAAAAAGTAGTTAAAAAGCCTTAAAAAATAGTTAACTTTAATCACGTAGTTAAGCCGGTTGTATAAAAGTGTAGTTAGCCTTAACTGCAGTTAAAAAGTAGTTAAAGTTAACTATGCTTTAGGGTATAGTTAACTGTCCAAAACGTAGTTAAAAATGGCGTTTGTATAGGAGTGAACAACATTTTTCAATAAAACAACAATGAAAAGCAACGCTTACCTGAGATTTTCAATCGCTTTCTTCCCTGTGAATGTTTCCTGACAATATAAACTCTTCAAACGCTATCGCTTTGGTGTTTTTACGAAAACAGAACATATTTTTGCACAGGACGATTTCTCGAAGACGAAGAATGGTCCATTACACCAAGAAACACTGATATATAATTGCCAAACAGCTAGACCTTGGTTTAACGTAGGCATCTCAAGGAAAAACTGCA